ACGTCGGGATCGGCCTCTCGGAGCCGAGGAGCCGTTGTGCCCCGACTGCGGCGCTGGGGCCGGGAGCCCAGGTCCGGGCGGAGACCAGCCCCGCGCACTCCCCAACTTCCGGCCTCCGAGCGGTCCGGGCCTCCTTTCCTGGTTTCCAATGTAAGGAGAGCGCTCTTACTCCCACTCAGCTTTTTTTCTGGTGGGGGAGAGGAGTAAACATTTTCAAGTTTAATGCGGCCCAATTATCTCGTTTGCACGACTTAAAACGTTTCTCTTTAAGTCATTTCAATCTAGTAAATATGCTTCAGCAAGTAGCTAATTTCTCAGGGATGGCTTCGCCTCCACATTTGCATATAAAGCATGTTGGGAGCGAGCATGTCTCCGGGTGCGCAGGTCGCAGCCAGCTAGACCTCCTCCTCCGGGGGGTACGCCTGGGTTTGTTCGGAAGACCCAGGCCCACGATGGGGTCCTTGGGGGTGGGCGGAGGGCGAGCGGCAGGGGGCCTGGGCACCTGAGCACCGAGGAGGAGACAGACCCTCCGTGTCTCCCGCCCCGGCCCCGAGACCCCGCCCGCTCTGATTCCGGGGAAGGGGCGCCCCGCGGTGTCGAATGGGCTGGAGCGTGGCGGGGGGGGGCGCATTTTTCCCCAAGTGCGTTTATTAAATCGTGTCTGGAGAGAGATGGACGTGAATACAGGAGAGGAAATCGCAGCGCTCAGTGGAGCAATCTTCTGGCTTTAAATTCCGAATAAAAGTCTCAAATATTCCCGGGTCAGGGGGCACTGTCTCATTAAAACCACTCTCGTCCTGAAACTGCAACGCAGACATTAAAGTGCAGTATTTTTCAATTAGAGCTGACGAATTCAATCAAAATTCCATAGATTAGGATGAAATGAGGCATGGGTCATTTACAGGGGAATTTAATTGCCGAGCCATTAGACAAATAGTATATTTGCCATTCCCGCGTTATCCATCATTTTCGACATCAATACCGGGGCCGCATCTCCTCGTCCCGCAGCCGCCCGGCGTCGGCTGTAAACACTGCCTTCTCCGAATCTTCTGATTATATCTGATTTCATTTAGGGCCACGGGGGATTATAAATGTTCACGCAATCAAGTTCATTAGGACTTCAAATCGCATTTCTGATTGGGATTGCGCTGCCGCTGTCCTCCGTGCGCCTTTCAAACCCCAGGACGAGGCTTTCAAAAACATCGTTTTGAATTGAAAGCTTCGCATCCTTTTGTCCTCCGACGTCCCCCAGCCCCCACCTCGAGCGCCTCGGGCCTCCTTCTCGGGGGAGCAGCCCTGAACCCCACTGGGCAGAGAGCCGGGCTGGAGGAGGGTGGGGTGGACCCCCGCGGTCTCCAGGCCAGAGGGAAGCAGGCCCCCCCACCAGGCCGAGACCCACCCGCAACGCTGGATGGAGAACGCACCGCAGAGCGGATCCGGAGACCGGAGCCGAGCTCGGGGGTCGGGCCCCGGTGTTCCCAGATCGCGGCTGCTCGTCGGCCCTGCACGTCCCGCCCCCTACCCCCGCCCGGGATCCTGGAGTCCCGCGGCCTCAGGACTCGGGGCAGCGCTCCGGACGGGCCCTGGGGACTGAGGGCGGGGAGTCGGGGCGGGCCCCTTCGACTCCAGCGACCGGGTGGGGGCGGAGCCCAGCGGAGCGATACCCTCTTCCTATTAGCAAACCCAAGAAACAAAAGAACCGACTCTTCTGGGGCGAGCCGACCAGAAAGGCGCAAGACACCCTTCCAGCGCAGTTGAAAAATAATAGCTTAATATTAACTGCTTCTCATAAAAATAGACTTTCACAGAGATACAGTTACAAGAAGAAAACCCTCATTTTACCCCCGTACTTTGTGCTCCTCGCTGTTAGCTGCCTCAGTAATTTAATTGGAATGAAACGTGAGAAATGTGTCATTTTTGAGGCATTTATGCCTCACTTCCTAGAAATCTCATTGTGTTAACTAGGAGCCTACTGCGCTCTGTTTAGAGCCCATAATCACATTTTTATGTGTCTGTATTACGAGTTAATGTGACCTCCTGTCTTTGGCAGATTAAAAAAAATGGGCTTTTTTCCGTAACATCTGCATCAAACTCCTGCTCGCGGAAAGTACGCGGAAACCCGTCTTCCCGGGGTTCTCCAAACTTACGGGCAGAAGAGCTGGGGAAAAAGAAACCGCGTCGGAACAGTGCCCGCCGCCTGAATAATTACACACCGAATTAAAACCCTGCGTTAGACGTAGTCGACAGCAAACGCGGCGTTCTCAATCATGTTTATTGCCTACAAATTGCATTACAAAGAAATCCACTCTTTTTATTGGAGTGATTAAGCGGGGCGTTAGGGCTGCGGCAGGGCCGTTCTGGGAGATTGGGCGGAGGCGGGAGACCCGGCTGGCCGCCTCGCCACGGCGAACTTGTGTGTTGGGGTTAAAGAACACGTTTAACACGCGGAGGAGGACCCGGCTGTCACTGCGGCATCATAAGAGACTCGGCTTAAAGATAACATTAACTTATAAACATGTTGCCTATAAAGCGTGCATATTTAATACGAAGGAAGTAGGCCACTCCGTAATCAATAATTACTCAATTTCTTTTACAGCAGCGCGATTCTGGACGGCAGGTCACGATTCTGTAGTGTCTCTCTACTCCCCTCCCCCTCCCCCGTGAGCTACCGTCCTGCGTCCGTGAACTCGGGGGCGCGCCGGTCGCTGGACGCGGCTGAGACCGTTTGCTTATGGCGCCACCTGCAGGGCCCCGCGAGAATAAGCGTCAATGCTGCACCCTCCGCGGGGGCTCCAGAAATGTCACCTCAGGCTCCTTTGAGCAGTTGCCTGACATTAATACTTGTTTTAAAACAGGAAGGTGTTAGCAATTTCAAGAAAAATCCTGGGTTTTGACAAGGACACTCACCCCTCCCCCCCCCCCATAAGATGCGGTGTGGGTCGAAGATGAGACTGCGGGGCTTCCCACCGGCCCAGGCGCGCGGAGAACGTTTGTCTGGGGACTAATGCCTTCTCCACGCGCGGCGGCGACGACGACGCCCGTTGCTGCTTTGTCGCTGGGTCCTCGGGCAGCCCTGAACGGAGGAGAAGCACTCGGCACGCTGACGACGCCCGCGATTGCAGTGATTAAGCGTCCCCTCTGCGCGGGGCGGCGGGCGGGGCGGGGCGCGGGGCGCGCAGCTCACTCTCCGGGCCTGTATTTTACACCGTTTCGGTGGAGGGTTAAGTGTTCTGTGCCAGAGTTCAAAAGCCTTCCCCATCCACGCCTGTCGTCACAAGGTGATCTCAGCCCTGGCTGGTGTGGCTCAGTGGATGCAGTGTCGGCCTGCAAACCAAAGGGTCGAGGGTTTGATTCCCGGTCAGGGCACATGCCTGGGTTGCCGTCCAGGTCCCCAGTGGGGGGCACTGCAGAAGCAACCACTCACTGATGTTTCCCTTCCTTTCTCTCTCACTCCCTCCCCCCCCCCTAAGAATAGGTAAATAAAATCTTTTTTTAAAAGGTGATTTCAGAGATGGGAAGTGTGACGATTATATAGTTGCTGAGATTAGCAAATGCGTCAGAAAGAGTCACTGGTTTTGATTTACTCCGAACCATGCTGAATTGGTGATTATCATGTAACCAAAAAATTACATGGACGCAAATCTGCTAAAAAGAGAGGCCCACGGCCGTGTTCAGAATTTTAAGCAGCATGGGCCCCGGGGTGCCGCGTCCATGCGCGGACTGCCTGCTGAGCTGGAGTCAGGTCACCCTGCCCGGGGCACAGGCAGGGTGGAAAGGGGCCGGACCTCGGTTGGAGGAGAACCTCACCCGTGTATTTGGGGATTCTCTGCGGTCAGATGACATTGCCGAGGATATTCGATAAGGGTTGGAGGGGACAACATCCCCTGCTTTTTTTAGTAGAAACAACATTCACCCTTTTGTCACCTTCTGAATTTTGAGTCATGTGAATGGATCTTTCAAAGCTGCATTTGAAATTAAAGTAAACAACTTAGGCCCTATGGAAATGAGTTTATGCAGTGTGCCCAAGGAGAAAAGTAATGACATCCAGTAGGAACTGTGAAAGAATAGGAAACATTTTATTTACGTTTTTAATTATTTATTTTTTGAAAAAGGAGAAGGGAGGGAGAAAGAGAGAGAGAAATATCAGTGTATCATCACCTTTCACGTGGCCACCACGGGGGACCTGGACTGCAACCCAGGCATGTGATCTGACTGGGAATTGAACCGGTGACCCTTTGGTGTGCAGCCCAAACTCAATCCACTGACCTACACCAGCCAGGGCAGAACAGAAAACATTTTTAGACCCTTTAATAACAGAAATACCAAGGTGCGTTTTCTTCCCTGGGGGGGGGTTATCTCAGCTGCCTCATTCCCTCCCTCCCACCTCCTGCCTCTCCACCGTCCTTCATTCCCCGCCCTCCGGCCCCAAGCCCCGCCCCCTTTTCTTCTACCGGAATGACGCAGCCTCCTTTGGTGGCAGAACTCCCTGCTACATGCGGCACAGAGCAGTCAGTCACCAAAACGACACATTTGTGAGTTATTTTATTTTTTGATTAATAAAGCAAATTGCTAGCAGCAATTAAGTTCTGAAAAACTAACAATGGGTCATTATTCGCCACACTTTTGGAAGTACAAAGCTAACATGTTTGCAAAGTGTTCTGCTTTCTTCTGGGGACTCCCAAACACATTTAACTGATACACTTCAGGAAAGCAGCCAGACTGCTTCCTAAGGCGGGTGGGGGGCTGCGTTCACCCCGATTCTGATGACCAGAAGGACAGCGAGGACTGTGAGGACCTGGTGGCTCAGAGCGGTGGCTCCATTTCTTACTGTTCTTGCCCTTCCGTTCATTCTCATCAACAACCCTGCTTTGCTTTTCCCTGCATTACAGCCTTTATCTGAATATTAGGCGATTTTCTTCTAATAATAATAAAACGATCACAATAATAGGCCCCGCTTCCTCTGGGCGGGCTGGGTGGGGCCGACGGGGTGGGGGCGGGGCGTCACCCATGCTGGGTCCAAAGGCACAGGCCTCCCTGTTCCAGGTGAGCGCCTCCCCACCGACCTCGGTTCCCCAACCCTCCTTTCTGCTCTGAAGCCCCGTGTCTAGGGCTCATCTTGGCCCCCACCGCCCCCCAGGTGCCACGTGCCTTTTCAGGACAGAGTCCTCCTCCCAGGATCCCACTGTGGCTGCTCACCTGCTCTGTGGTCCTCACAGCCTGTCCAAGACGTCCAGACCCTTGGTCTGGAAACCAGCGCTCTCCCTGTCTGTGCCCCCACCCCCAGCCCTGCCTGCTTCCAGTGGCCCAAGCGGGGAGCCCTCCCTCCAGAGGATGGGTCACAGTCCCCCCTTTGGCACGGCCTTTGTCTGCGGAGGAGCTGGAGGACCGCTGTGCTCACATCCGTCTCAGCAGGCAGATGTGGGCGGTCAGCCGAAGGTGCAGGAGGCGCTGTCCTGTCACTCACTGTCTCGCAGACCCTCTGTGTTGAAGTCTGACCATCCATCTGCCAAGGCTCAGCCCGACCACCCCCACCCCGCCAGCCAGACTGGGACAAGGGGAGACACGCCTGCCTATTCTGAAGTGGTCCCAGAAGTACCTCACATTGGTTCAAACTGGACAAAAACGGAGCCATGTGTACTGTCCTCAGGGGACAGTGAGGAGTCCTTATTTTAAAATACAGTGTGGGATAGAAAACTCGAGGTCACCTAGGGCCACCAGGGCAGGGACAGCTGCCATTGGAAAGATAGTTAGTTACTCATGGGTCCCAGGAGAGGGACATGTCTCCCCATGGGGGCCAAGTGGGGAAGCACCAGGGTGGGCCAGAGGAGGGTGTGGGCCGGAGACTGGCTGTGGTTTCCGTGGAAGGAACTCGGGAGGCAGGGCAGACAGGCCTGGCTACTCCGAATCACTCGGGCTCTGGGCCAGATCGGCCGAACCGGCTGTCTCTGGTACCTGGTGGTGGCGGCTGGCGTCCTGGGCATGAGCGCCCACATAAAGGGGTGGCTGGGCGTGTGAGCGCTGGGTGGGTCAGGGTGCACTTAAAAAGCACACCGGGTGGCAAGCTGTTGACTCTGTCTCAGAACCGGTGACCCCGAGGTGGGGGGCAGTCTCCAGAATCGGCAAGGCCTCAGACACCAAAGCACCAGACTGCTGGGAACAAGGGACTGGGTAGACACAGTCCTGGGCTGAGTGACCTCTCTCTCCCTAGGGATGTGGGGACGGCCGCTGGTCAACCTGGGGCTCCCTGGGCCGCCCACCAGGGCAGAGCCCGCCGGGCTTTGCTGAGAACACCAGACAGAAGACTCCCGCTGGGCAAACACACCCACCTCACAACCCCGCCAGTGTCTGTCTGGGGGGCCCTGGACCCCTGTGCTGGGAAGCACCCGTGGGCTCCTGGGAAGATGATTTATCCTGGAAGCCGATGTCCTCCTTCCATGTGCACATCTGTCATGTTTTAGGGACAGTCTTTCCAGGAGGCCCGCCTCCCAGGACCGGTGGGCGTTTTCCCAGAGGCAGAGGGTCGGAAGCAAGGGGGGCCCCGTGCCCACTGCTCAGCCGTGGCGGGCGGGAGGCTAACCTTGGAAACACGGCCAAACCTTTCAGTTCCACGTCCGTGGAAAGGCCCTTTCTGGTACGGCTCTGCAGCGGGCACACTCGTCACCCTCGGAAGCAGCCCGGAGAGGCAGCAGGGTGCTCAGTACCAGTGCATCCCCCGGAGACCCTGAAGGTGCCAGCCAGCAGGTCCGCGGTCCCATTGTCCTCGGAGGGGCGGGCACAGGACCAAGTCCAGAGGCTCAGGGTCTCAGTGCAGAACACCCTCTGGCTCCAGAAGGAGGTAGCCTTGCAGGGACGCGGGCAGGGGCAGCTGGGGTACCAGGCGAGAGCACCCCCTGCCCAACCGCCTGCGGATGGCGCAGCGGCAGAGGTGCTTCAGGCGGCGCGGGCTGCGGGCCAAGGCGAAGAGGGACTGGTAGAAAGGCCGGTGCGCCTGGAAGGGAAGGCGGGGCGTCAGTCCCTGCCCCGGGAACCTCAGCCTCTCGTCTCCCTGCCGGAAGGAAGGACCGAGGTCCTCTCTTCGGCTCCGGGGAAGGGAGCAGCACTGTCTGGGGCGACGCCCCCTCCGCCAGGGGTCCGCCCCTTTCTCCAGTGCAGTCCTCGCCCGGGCCCAGCGAACGTTTGGGAGATTTCACGTAAGACGGGCCATCCGCTTGTACTGAAGTCTGCTCTGCCCGCCCCTTCGCACAGGGTGACATTTGCTGATCAGTAATGAGCACGGACTCAGTTGACGAGGGGACATTTTCTAGAGGTTTCTGGAAAGAGATGCTCTGTCTTAATCAAGTCGGGCATGGCCGTAGGGCCCGCAGCTGGCTCGGGCAGAGACGAAGCCGATACTTAGGAGGCAGAGCCTGTGGGCAGGGGCTCAGATGCCCGCCCTTGGCTGCAGCCGGGTCCCCGAGCCCCAGCCAGCGTGGGTCTGTCCGGCTCCGCGCAGCCGGCAGCACCCCAACTCTTCCCCGGCACGTGGCTGGGTGACGGCTGAGTCTCCGAAGGAAAACAGCGATACTCACGGGTGCCCCCAAGGCCTCCTCCGCCCCCCGCCTCCTCCAGTCACTCTCTACTCACCCGGGAAGCAGTGCAGACCTCCTCACGATCGAGCGGACACAGAGGACAATGCCAGACTGAGGCAGAGGGAAGGGCGGCCCCTCACCTGAAACGCCTCCTCAGGGATCTCCCCCCTCCAGGACTGGGGCACGCGGAGCTGCGGGTAGGAGTTGAAAAGCACCTCGAGGACCGCGGGAGCCGACGCGCAGGACTTCAGCACCTGGTCAGGGGACGTGGGGAGGCCACGGTCAGGCCGACTGGCCTTGGGGCCCCAGTGTGGAAAGGGTGGGGACGCAGAGGTGTGTCGGCACCCCACTACTGTCGGTGGGACCCCACTATCCTCCGTCCCACAGGGAGCGGTGGTGAGCACAGAGCAGGGCAGGGCCTGGCGCTGTGCGTGGTCACAGAGGGCCTGTGCGCCCAGCCGCCGTGCAAGCCCGGGCGGGCACTCTGCGTGCAGGGTCCCGCACCGAGCTGGCGCCTCTGGGGCGCTGCCGGGGCAGCGAGGAGGTGCCGTGGGGGGTGCGTCGGGCCCGGCCCCTCACCCCGATCTCCCAGTCTGCGGGGACACTGGGGAAGAAACGTCACCTTGCTGTGGAGTTCCCTCTCAGTCTCCCTTTATTTTCACAGCCCTCCCTGCCGAAGGACTCCTACGCCGCTATTTGCACATTTAAGATCTGTCAGCGTCACAAAGATGGGAACACCGCGCTTTTTTAAAATGCACTTTTTTGTTACAGAGAAATTTGAATGGACACTAAGCCGGGCCCAGCAGTGTGACAACCCCCAGGCGCCCACCTGTGACTCGGGGAGAGCCCTGCCCCGCTCCTGCCCTCGGGCCCCCGCCCGACATGATTTTAAAGCAAATGCAACTGTCACTGCGCCTGTCAATTTCTGCGTGTCCCTTCAAGGGCCCTTTAGAGGAAAGGTCAACACAGCATCACTGTAGCACCTGAGTTGTTCAAGTTCACAGATTTCTCCTAGATGCCATTGTAGGAAAAGGAATTTGTTTGACTAAGAACAAGAACACACGTGGGACCAGGGGGTACGATGCACTCTCGATTTGTTTTGCGTCGCGTGACTTGTCTGTTGAAGAAACCAGGACCCCTGCCCGTGGAGTTCTCACTGGGGGGAGAACCGTGTCCCTGTGGGTGGGGCCACGCTGCTCCTCTGCTGCTTCCTGTACCTGACTTGTCGGACGCGGACGCTCCATCGGATTCAGAATCAGTCTGGGCGAAGGGCCAGGAAACGTCACGGTTCTGTTTTTGAGGCCTGAGACATTTTACCAAGTGTCATAAAATGGTTGTTTGTATTTGGGGGTTGAGAAAACTGAGTTTAAGCCACTTTTCTGAGACTAGGCAGCGGGTGCCTGCAGCGGAGAGCACAGTTGGAGCCTGTAGCTGCATCCGGCTGCACCAGACTTGCCCGCCTCCCTGAGCAAACAGTCACACAGCAAAAGGGATTTACATCACTGCCCCTTCATGGCCTGTCCGGGTTCTTTCACCTCTGAACCCCTTTAAGATACAGAAGGACAAAACAGAGAGTTCACATATCTTCGTTCAGGGCAAGACCCTATTAATGTTCTGTGTGCACTAGGGCTTTATGCATTTGGACAAAACATGAATATATGCGACAAGGAATGGGCTAGTACTTTGCACGTTATTTTGAAACTTGGTTTTTCTATACTCCAAATAGACTGCAAACAAAAACCGCAAGTGGATATCATCTTAGTGGCCATATACTATTTTATTTTATGAATGCATCACCTTGTGGTCAGGGAGTTAACCACCGTAAGTTGATATTGTAAACAGTGAATATTTTTGGACATAATTCTACCTCTTTCTGTCCCCAGCCATTCTTAGGTAATAATTCTGTTCCCTTCCTACACTGAATTCCTGGAGGTAAAAATGCAGGGGCAAAGGGTAGGTACATTTTAAAGCTGTTAGAACATGTTATCAAATTATGAGTGTGTGAAGTGCTGCATTTCTTGAAGAACTGAGTATGAGGATGCCTCTTTCTCCCTACACAAGCCATCTCGTTAATTATATACATTTGAACACCAGCCAGTGTGGCTCGGTTTGGTCGGTCGGGCATCGTCCCACAAATCAAAAGGTTACCAGGTCAATTCCCAGTCAGGGCGCATGCCCGGGCTGAGGGTTCTGTCCCAGTTGGGGAGCCCGTCAAAGGTAGACAATCGATGTTTCTCTCCTTCTCCTTCTCCCTCCCTCCCCCTCTCTCTAACATAAGAAAATAATTAATTAAAAATGTGATAGGTACATATGGAATAGTTACACTTGTTTTAGTGGACCATTTGTTTTTCTTCTTTTCTAAATTGCAACATTATGTCTTTTGCTCATTTTTTCCATAGTGTGTTCATTTTCTCATTGATTTGTAAGTACACCTTATTTATGAAGGCTATTTTTCAGATAGACGATTATTTTTGCAAGCAATAGGACTTTCTCCTCCTTAATATTAGTACGGCTTATTTATTTTTCTTGTCTTATTCCATTGGCTAGAGCCTCAATGTAAAATAATATCGGTAGCAGGCATCACCATCTCTTTCTGAATTCTAATAGGGTTGTCTCTAATGATTCACCATAAATATAATCTTCGATATTAGTTTCAGATAGATACTCTGTTCTAAGTGAAGGACACATGTTTCCATTCCTGGGTTACTGTAAATTTCAGGATGTAATTTTATTTTTTGCCTTTTTTAACCAGGTTGACACAAAAAGATTTTCCAATATTGACCCACTTTTGCCTTCATAAAACAGACTTCATTTGGCTGTTCTTCTAAATAAAATGGCAGATTGAATTTCCTAAGGTTTTCATATCTCTTTTAATAACTAAATCTGATTAATAGTTTTAGTTTTAGGGCACTATCTTGCCAGGTGGTAGCATCACTGTGTGTTAACTTAGTAAACCTGAGACATCGTCTGTGTCTTTCATACACTGATGGGTTTTTAGAAAGTGGGTAGTGACTGAGTTGGGAAGACAGGACGGAGCACGCTGGGCGCTGTCTAAGCCTGTCCCGTAGCCACACTGTGATCATTTCTTCCCTGCTTCCTGGCCTACTCGGTCCTCATTCCTTCCTCAATCTGTGTGGTTGAGCCCTATTTCCCTGGGAAGTGGTCCTCACTTCGCAGGAAGCGCATCGCACACGCATCTGTCAGGGTCCAGCAGGAAGCAGACGGCAGGTCTGACGCAGGGGGAGGTTCAGGAACGTCTATGGACACAGGGGCGGTCCAGCCCGGCGTGAGTGCAGGGGAACGGCCTGAAATGGAGCTGGCAGCAACACTGTTTCCATTCCCGGGACAGGAGATGGGGTGGGCTATCCCACCGGTGCATGGTCTTGGGTGGGGGACACACAGCCAGCCTGAAGCAGACAGGCGGCCAGGTGAGTAGACCCCCTGCGCTCACTGTGCTTCCCTTCCTCTCACTCAGTGTGGAGAGACCACGCTGGCCAAACCCAGCAAGGCAGGGGGCAGGGGCAGGGGCAGGGGTCGGGCAGGTGTGTCCAGGTCTACCTGGACAGGAGACATTTCCCATTTATACCTCCTTGCCAAATAATTCTGGTATTTGCATTTAGCTTTACAACGGGCCTTATTTAAACCTCCCTTGTAACTGGTCGTATGCCCTACACCTTTCTGCTAAGCCCGCCCCTCCACGGGTACTTCCCAGCTCCGACCAGAGCCAGGCAGCGTGCTGGCTGCGTGGCACGGCAAGGCCTGCCTCCCAGTCCCAACGACAAGTCCCAGGCGCCGATGAATAAGGCCCGGGGGCCGCAGCCCGGAGGTGGGGAACCACAGGCGCTAGACCTGGGTTTGCAGTGGGGTGCTGGGTCACTCTGGGAAAGATTCCTGGAAGAAGTGGCATTCACGCTGGGACCTGACGGTGGGGCAGGAGGGACAACAGGCATGGAGAGCTCTGGGGCGCAAGAGAGTTCAGGGGAAGAAAACCCTCGCTGAACACGGTAGGCGAGGGGGACCGCACACTGTGGGCCGGGCCGTCCCACGTGGAGCAGTGGGAACTGCGGGGGGCGGTGGCGGCTGGTCAGGGAGAGCAGCTTTGCTGTGAGACGGGGGCGGGGCTGCACCTCAAAGGCACCTGAAGGGTTATGAGCGGAGGAGTGACAGGACCCGATTGGAACTGAGAAGTGTCACCATGGCCGCCTTGTTGAGAAGAGCTCCAGGGGCCACTGCTGGGGGCAGGGCTCCCAGGTAGAATAATGTTCTGCCGTCTGGGGGGTGGGTGCTGGGGCCTCCCCTCGGGGGCTGGTGCACGGGGCGGAGAGAGGAGAACCATGCGGAGAGCAACTGGGCAAGGCAAGGCAAGGAGTTGGCCCTGCCGTCGCCAGAAGCCATCTGGTGACCGAGGGAGGGACTGTTTGGAGGGTGACGCTGGTCCCTGAGGTCAGAGAGCATCAGGTTCTGTTAGTGCCACAATGTCAGGCTTCGGCAGGCTTCAGAGGGGAGAGGCAGCGTGAACACAGGGGACGGATGCACCCAGACAGGTGTGCGCCCTCCCACCCAGCTGCCCGAACCCATCGCCCGGGCTGCTCTTGACCTGCTGGTGTCTCTGGCCAACACGAGCCACACCGACACGCCACTTCCTGCAGCAGGTCCCCTCTCTGAGGTCGGTCATCCTGTTTCGGTTTTGGGATAGAGCACATCAGTAAGACGGGGTTCACCCTGGACCTCCAATCTAGTCTGGTTACGGACAGACGGTGTCCCAGGTAATGCACGCTTCCTCGGCCTTCCTCGGGCTCCAGCCGCCCTTCGACTGGCCGGCTCGCTTCTCTGTGGGGCTTTAAAGGCTTCTCAGTGGCTGCCTGCCACGGGAGAGGCTCCCTGTTTTACCCCCCCCAGGCCCCTGCTGCCAGCTGCCCTCCCCCAGCAATAGCACCCCTCCCCCCGGGCCCCTCCTCCCGGGGTCACAGACTGTGACAAAGCCTTATTGCCTGTCTCTGGGAATTCATTTCCTGTCTCTCTTCAGTTCCACCTCTCTGGGGCCCGCGGGCCCTCCCCACGCCCTCAGCACCGTGCCCCTCACGTCTGCCAGGCAGCTGGCTGCCTTCATTATTTTTACGCCAACACAGTTTAAAAATCTCCGCTGCCTCCTCGCTGTCTGCGGAGGAGAGCGGCTGCCACATTACTCTGACATGCTGATGTCATTAGCGTCCACGCGCACTCTCTCCGGCTAATGAGGCGGCAGAAAGAAAATTAAGGGGAAAAATCACACAGGCACACTGCTCTGTGTGTAGACGGAGAAATAAAACGAGCAAGAAAAACAGAGGCACGCTGTTGACGGTCGCTCCCCCGCCTCCCCCGGGGACAGGGCCCACGCTGGGCTCCTGCAGACAGGAAATGGAGTCCCGGGTTTTGACTAGTGCTCCCCGGCACGAGCCCCTAAAAAGCCAGTGGTGGGAGCCACGTGAAACCACTGTACCTCCTCCTGCACGTAGGGGAAGGGAGACCGCAAAAACTTGACGCCGCGTTTTCAGCGCGGTCAGCGCCCAGACGGCGAGGCGAGGCCAGGCCAGAGCTCTGCAGATATATCTGGATCTGTCTTTCTTGCCATCGGCCTCCACTGCCCCTCTCTCTGCAGCCTTCCCCACCCCGGTGTGCCCTCTACACTTAGCGGAGAAATCACCCCCAAACGCTCATTTCATTATGTCACCTCTCCGTGTAGATGGATGTCACAGATGCCCATTGTTCTCCGGAGGAAGGCTCAACCCCCCGGCAAGGGCCCCGCCGAGGGCACTGTCTCAGCTGGCTCCCTCTGGCTGATTTCTCGCCAGCTACCGGGCCATCTCTGGCTGCACGTGGGGGGCGCTCTTTCTGCCCTGGGGCCTTTGCCTGGACGCTCCTTTGGCCCGGGAGGGCCTTTCCTCCCCTCTTCACACAGTCAAGGCTTCAGATCTGGGCGCGCTCACCCGTGTTGGGGGAAGTGGGTGACCACTCCCCCACGCTAGGTGAAGCCCCCTATGTGGCACTTCCAGGCGTGGAGAGTCTTTGCTCCGCACCTGACTTCCCCACAGCAGCGTCACATGGGGGTATGTGGCTGTCCCACCCTCCCGAGGGGCGGTGCCACGCGAGCCCCTGTCCAGCACACAGCCAACTCTGGCCTTGCGTGTGCGTGGCCGTTCCTCAGGAACGCTGGCGAAGCGAAGGAGTGCTTTGGGGATGCCCTGGGGAGCACGGCCAAGTGGTTTGGGGGAGCCTGTCCAGTGCTGGCGTGGTCCCTGCCCGACCCACGGGCAGGCGCCGGTTTGCATGTCTGCAGCCTGCAGCCGGAGCATGTCCCCAGGCTGCTGCTGGCCTCGGCCCGGCGGGTCCGGGGGGCTCCCTGGGAGATAGCAGAAAGGGGTGGGATTGGGGGCTGGAACGTTTTAACCCCAGGAGTCGACTGCATACAAAAAGTGCTCACAGAAGGGGGTCCCTCTGTGTGTCAAGGGACAGGTAAAGCTGGCATGTGTTCTGCATGGTGAGCCAGGGTTGCTCCCAAACACCTCCCTTGGACGAGGCAGGATAGAGCGGCCCCAGGGTCCATCTTCCGGCTCTGACTTTGGGAGGGTGGGGGCCAACGTACCTCCACCCTTCACCCTATGAGCTCCGGAGCTCTGCTCGGGGCTTTGCCCTTCGGCTGCAGGGAAGCAGCACTTTGTTGAGGAAAGAAAACGCTGGGCTTCGTGCCCAGACTATGAATTCGCGCAGGCGAGGGGCAGGCCAGGGAAGGCGGCAAAGCCCTTCCTCCAGACAGAGCAAGGGCTCTCCTCCGGCTGCCCGGTGTCCTGACCACTTCAGAATTCGGGCCTGGCTGCCTCCTGCCACCTCGGCCTGCCTCTGCCCTCCCGGCCCGTCCCTGACTCTGGTGTTAACTAGAGGTCAGCCAGGCAGACAGGCCTGGCATTGTCAACACGCTTGCTTCCCGAGCAGTGACGCCGCTTTGATTCTCGCCGCAGAGCACTGTCGTCGGCGCGGGCGGATGCTCGGAGTCCGCCTGCCGCACGGCGCTGCCTTTGTCTGGGCGTGAGGGGACTGTGATTTATGTCACGAGCTCGCTGTGAAACCTTTTGCCTCGGTAATTCTGAGCTCCGTGGGTGTCTCTTTACATCTATTTCAAATGCGGCTGCTGCCCACGGACCGCGTGCGCGGCGACACTCCCAGGCCTCTGTGCACCCTCGCCGCGGTGCGGAGTCTTGCCCGCGGTGCATCTTTGTGGCCGGGCTCAGTGTGTTCGCTGTGCGCTCCGCGGGGCCGCTGAGCAGAGCTGGTCTGTGGCTTTGATGTCGGGTGTGGTGATTAGACCCCTTCCCTCGGGAACGCGCAGGTGGCCTGGGTGGAGGGAGATGCTGCGGCCGGATTTCCAGAGTGTCTGCCCTGCTAGTCCGGGGCCCAGGCCGGGCGTCCGGGGCACTCGTATCTCCGCTCAGAGGATGCTCAGGACCGTACACGGTCCCACCGCACCCTGCTCCCCGCCAGGAGTGCCGTGGGCGCCCCCTGGAGGTGCGGTTGACCGCAGCACAAAGGACGAGCTCAGATCCCCGTTTGCAGGGAGTGAACCGCAGGCAGAGCGGCCTGGAGTTGCTGGAATCCCCTCCACTCACTCAACTGGGCTGGGGTGCTCAGTGCTCGCTCTGCGCATGTGCAGGGGAGGAAACGGCGGGCAATGCTTTCTGGTGAAAGCCTGAAAGTATTAAGATTTCTCGGGGAAACTCCAATTCCCTTAACAATTGCTGGGAGGTTCACTGTCACTTCTCAGGGCCTTTTGACCCGCGAAATAGGAAATGGCCCCTCAAGCCTATATCCAACTTGCACCCACTGGCCGCCCTTCGTTCCAGTGTGGCCAACACAGCAGAGGGGCCCTGGAGACCCAGGTCCGGAGGCCCGGTGCCTTGACCTGCACGTCAAGGTCAAGGTTAAGGTAGGGTAATTCCCATAGCCTTGGAGACGGAGTTCCAGTCCCCAGGGCAGGGCCCACTGGGGCTGCACCTTGGACTGGGGCACGCGGGCCAAATCACTCAGCGTGAGGTCAAGGCCGACGGAGGCCTATTTCCAGTCACTGAGGAAACCTACAGACCCCTTCGTTCTTTACAATAATTTCCCCCAGATATCCTTCACGGGTGGCCCATCACGGAAGGTGTTTCTTTTTCATCTGCAGCTGGAAAGGGGCCACACACCACACCCGAGGAGCTCAGGAGAGGCCTGTGTGGCGGCCTTGCAAACTCGGAGTCGGAAAGTAGCCTCTCGAGGGCCCGAACACGAACCTTGGTAACTGGAGCAGCGAACGGTAGGCGGTCCTGTCCTGGGCTGGGGTCTTTTGACGGAGGCAGGCTGTTACCTTAGCTGGGCCTGTCTGTTGTCCTTTTGCATCTACAGAACATACCCTTGGAAGGTCAGGGTAACTTTCTTTTCTCAGACTGCTCAGGGCACAGTCTTCAGTCAGAGGAGACCCCGGAGCCCCTCACTGCTATTGCTACCGTGTTCATTGTTAACCGTTAACTGTCCTGTCCCCACCTGTGTCTAAGAAGAACCTGTCTACTTGTTTACTTTTTTATCCAGTGTCGGCGATTTCCCGCTTGGCTTCCTCTGCCTCCCTAGTTCATGGCCGATGGATTTCACATAACCCCTTACACTTCCTCCTGTGATCGTAATGTATAAAACGAGGCGCGGAACCACCATTCTCTGGAGCGTTTTCTCAATCCATTGAGATTTCGCTTCACAGCAACTGTTGTCAGTCTGGCTCAGATAAACTCATAAAAATTCTGACAGGTTTGGACGTCTCTTATGCTGACACACTTTATGCGCAGTCAGGTGATGAGGGTTGCTGCGGCATCCCCGTTTAAGGCAAACACGCTGTGCCCTGGAGGGACAGTGGGGGGCGCTCTTGTCTCCAGGTTACGGGTGGATGAGCTAAGCCTGCTATCACTGGGACCTGTTAAAATGTAAACCAGGACTGGAAAAGGTGTCAAGGAATACAGGACGGGCCAGCATTTCTCCCCTTCCACCAGGTTGGAGTCACCACATTGGTTGGGCACCGGGAGACAGCCTGAGAGCCGCCGTGAAACGCTTGTCATGCCAGGGTGGTCGAGGACACGCTCAGGGAGTCCTGTGGGTGGGTTTTCCGCCTTCTACCCACGCGTTTACAGATGCAAACCTCGCTCAGTATGCATCTACAGTGTACCGTTCGCCTTGGAGAGAAAGGGGGGACGCGCACTATTTGGGGCCTCTAGAATACTGTCCTTTTTGGAGAACACCTTCTTCGTTCAAAACGTGTCCGGTGAAAGCATGTCCCTCGCCTGTGATTGGTGAGTGTGGGGGGTAAGTTGTAAATTAAGCACACCCAGTTTCCCTTCTGAACGCCTTCCCTTCAGGGAAGTCTTTTGAGGAGACAATCTCTTATTCTAACCAATATTTTACAACTTTTCTTTTGGAAACATTTTTTGTCTTTTGAGTATTTTCTCTGGCGAGAAATTGTTATTCTTCCCCTTTATCCCTTCAGGCCAGACTGGACACCCGGAAAAGATGACAGGCTGCTCGGAGCCCGGTCTGCGGATCGGCCAGGACAGCCTGACTGTGCACAAGTCCCTTCCCCTGCCTGGCATTTCACAGAAAATGTCTTGAGGGGAACGAGGGAACCTGCAAATGTGTAATTAATCTCATTAACGAGGTTGGGTGTTTCATCTCAGAACTGATGCCAGATGCGATAAGAAATCGATTTTCCTTGTTCTGAAAGTTACAACAAAAGATGAGCAGCCACAAGAAGAATTTAAGCCCTGACGGCGTCATCGAGATAAGTGTGTGCACTCTCCAGGTGCCTGCTTCGAAAGGGCCCACGCAACCCAGCTTTTTCCCACCCCACCCTCCTAATTTTCAAGTTGCTGAGACAGGCGGCCCCATCTCCTCAAAGTGCGGTCCGGAGACCAATGACCTGGGCCTCGCCTAGGAACTGTTAGAAATGCACTGTCACCTAGGAGACGTCCAGACCCACGGAATAAGCGTCTGCAATTTCCCAGCTCCCCCGGGGGGTTCCCAGGTTCCACAAGTTTGAGAAACGCTGCATGCCACCCAGTGCAGGCGAGCGGGGCCCTGCTCCACAAAGCTCGGGGGGCCCCCACCCCACCTCTTACCTTGGGAAAGGCGTCAGGCCACACCGTGGGGGAGCCGTGGTTGAGCAGCTCCTGCACGATGCGCTCCGGCTCGGCCTGGGGCGCGCAGGCGGCCGCCTGCAGCACGCGGCCCAGCGGCGAGGCGCCTCCGTAGTCCAGCGCGGTAGCGTCTGCGCCGTGGCGCAGCAGGAGGTGCACCAGATCCGGGCGCACTCGGCTGCAGGCCTTGTGTAGCGGGCTGCGCTCGTCCTCGTCGCGGGCGTCCGGGGCTGCCCCGCGCTGCAGTAGCAGCGCGCACAGGCGCGCTCCGCGCTCGTGCTCCTCGGGCCGCAGCGCTGCCCCGCAAGCCGCGCTCAGGGCCGTCTCCCCTTGGCCGTTTCTTGCGTCCACGCGCGCCCGGCGGTCTACGTAGAGGCGCGCGTGCTCGTCCAGGCCGTGCTGTGCCGCCACGTGCAGTGGCGTGTTCTGGCTGGCGCCGCCTGCACAGTGCACCGAGGCCCCGTGCTCCAGCAGCGCCTGCGCGCACCTGCGGGGAGGCTGAGACTTGTCACCCCGCCCGCAGGGCCTGATGCCCCACACCCACACCCTGCCACTGGACCCGCCACCCCCTGGCTGCCACTGAGGGGGCTCCCGACAACCCACGGAGCGAGTGGGCTCCTTGAAGAGCAAGGATAGCCTGAGAGAAAGGACATAAGTTCAAATATCCTGTGCCCCAGGGTCGGGAGTTGAAAGGGGCTGGAAAGGAAAGAAGAAAAGGTACAATGGAAACCATGGAGGCGCGGCGCCCACCGGTTAGGAGACGGTGGACACAGCTGGGGAGGTGCCTGGGAACCTGCAGGGTGCAGGGTGGCGGAGCCTATGAGTAATTTGTATCTGTTGGTGCTGATTTGGGAGGTGCTGTGGCTCAGATGCCAGTGCTGAAGGACTGTCACCTGGCTCTTTGTTACCTGCGGCAGTTGAGGGCCTGGCAGGCACGGTTTTGAGGAGGGTCCCTTAGGCTGCCAGACTCTTTCTCAGCCAACAGTGCCTCTTCCATTAACCACTGAGCGTTGGTGACAAGCGGACAGCGTGAGGCAGGCTCTCTCTGCTCCCTCAGAAGGAACCTACGCAGCCCTCAAGGAACTGACTTGGGCTGGCCCTGGGCTGTCCTCGAGGCTGGACACGCAGTGGACATACAACCCTGCCTGTCTGTGGGGCGACCTGTGCGTCAGCTGGACTCTCCAAGAACAGACTGGTCCCCCCCCATCCCACCCCGTGCCCTCCCTGGTCTCTCCACCTCCAGGTCCACCCACTGGAGCCCAGACTGCTGCTCCTCTGGGCCCCTCCCTGGAGGGCAGTCCCTCTGGGCCTTGGCTGCCCCAGGAGGACTCCACGCCCTCAACCTGAGCTCAGGTGGCAGACTGCTCAGCAGGCTGCTGGACCCTGGGGCCTCCGGCCCTGCGGGGAACCTCACTTGGCCCAGCCTGAAAGCGTGGGGTGGAGGACAGTCACTCAGGACCTTCTCCATTGTGCTGGCCCCTGTCCTCTGTGGGCACTGCTAAGACACTGGCCCCAGTTCGGTTGTGCACTCCATGGTCCCCTCCTGGCCATGGTCATCCACGTGGTTGCTCTCCCTCTGGGTCCCGACCACTCAGCACGGCACCTCCGGACCACAGCCTCTGGGCCCTGTGGCCCCATCTCTGCTCCACGGAGATATGAGTCCTCGACCCCCTTTCCCTTGGCCCCCCCTGCCTCCACTTGGTCCCTGGGCAGCTCTTCAGTGGCCCTTTGTCCCCCTGCGTAGAGGGAACATGGCCATCACCCCCTATGCCAGGTGGCCGGATTGCCAACCCGGAGCCCACTCATCATCCATCCTCTCATCTCCCCTCAGCCACTGGAGGGAACACCATGCGTGGACTGGTTCCCGGTCTCAGGTGGGCCTCGGGGGCTTGCGGTTCATGTTTCCCAGCGTCAAAGGTCAGCCCCTCGCTCCAGCGGACGGCAGCGACTGCGGATGCCGTCACCCCGCTGCAGCGGTGCTGTCTCCCCCGGCCTCCCCCGAGGTGCTCCCCTCTCGCTCCCTTCTGGAGTGCGGGCTCCCCCAGCAGCTGCCCCCTTCCCGCCTCTGAGTCGCACCTGCTCCAGCTGCTGTTCCGGTGTGTTTCCTCGGCGACTGTTCCTGCCATTCTCCACTTTCTAGGGGAGTCCCTCTGGGTGACCTCGCTCCAGACTCAGTCCTTTCCACTTCCTGGGGGTCTCGCTCTGTGAATTTCTTGTCCTTTGCCTTTCTCCTGCCCTCCCGCCCCACCCCGCAGTCGGTGGCCAGCCCCGTTGACTCCAGCATCTATAATCACTCGAACCGCTTCTTCCTTTGTATGGTCACTGTCCTTTCTTGCCTGAGTGGTAACAACCGTCTCATACTTTCACAAGCTCCATAGGACCCGGGAGCAGCCTTCCCTGTGTGCGTCAGATGCCATGCACCCCCTGGAGATTGCTCCGGACCCGCTTGCAGGACACAGGGCACCCAGAGACCCAGCTCCGGGGACCCCGCCCGCCTCTCGTTTCCTGAGGCTCCGAGCTCCCATCCTGTGCTTCGGTCCTGCCTGACCAGGTGTGGCTCTCTGCCCCGTGTCTTTGTCTGCGCTGCTCCTCCTGGGGGTGCCCTGTCTCCCGTGAAGGCGGACGCATTCCTATCTCTCTTTTCTCCACCTCCCGGGCACCTGCCTCCCGGTGCCAGCAGCCGAGGGCCACACGTCCGTGCTGTCCTGTGTCTTGTACAGAAGTGCCGGGACCCACCATCTCCCACACCACACTCCAATGTCCATTGGCACCTGGGACTCCTCCCTTAGACCGTTGGCTGCTTGAGGGTAGAAGCGGGGCTTTTTCCCCCAGTGGGGGCAGACTGCTCCCCTGAAATCACGGGGAGCACCTGCACGTCCTGCATGAGCCTCGCGCAGCTTCCGGTCAGGCTGCCGCCAGTTTTCCTGGCACCGCCTCGCCGGGGCTCCCCTAGGGATCGGCCAGGGAGGGTTTCCAGCTCCGCTCGCCTTCCTACCTGGGGGCGCCGATGCCGTCGCCATCTCCCTGCGAATCTCCAGCCTCCACACTGGCTGTGTCTCCAGACCTGGCCTGTCTTGGGCGGAAGATCTTTACAAACAAGTGCAATTTGATGGGAGATGTCCTTTGGGACAATAACCACCAGCTAAGACGGGATGCAGACCTCGTCAGCACAGAGCCTCAGGCTGCTTTCCGCCCTGCCCGTCTGGGAGGGACTTGGAACAGGGCGGCCGGAGGTGGAGCACCGAGGGTTCTGTCTCAGTTTTGCCCCTGAGCCTGCGCGCACACCCACAATGAAAAAGCAGTTGCTTGTACTTTTTTTTTCCTTTTAAAGCAGCCCAGCCTCTCCAGAGACCCCACAGGAAAATACAAGGCATCCCCTTGTCCACGGCCACAGGCTGCAGTTTGCCACCAGGACACCTTTCAGAAGAGCAAGGACAGTGGACGAGGACAGTGGCCCGCCCTTGGGAGGGCCACCGATGCCTGTTCCGTTGTTAATGAAGAGCTTCTAGGTGGCAAACCCCTGGCACTTTCTTACAGCAGGTAATGAGGGAGCTGCCGGCCGCGGGAACGAGGGAAAACAGCATAGCCGGCGGACTGGGGTGCGTCTCCGCGGGCCCGCACTGGGCGGCCGCTGGGGACGGGGTGTGGGAGCCCGTTCCATGGGGTGGGAAGCTGCCTAAAATGGCTGTGTGAAAGGGTCAGGTCACCAAACAGCCCCGAACAGCCCTATCGCTTTTTAAGGAGCAGGTACGTCCATGCGTAGAAGGCAAGCGGAGATACACACAGGCCAGCGAGGGTTTGCCCCTGGCCGGGGGGCACTTCTGTTGCCTTTTGCCTGCCTGTGTTTTCACATTTTCCGAAAGGAATCAGAGTTTCAGTGTGAAAGAGGCAGGACAAGGTTATTAATGAGAACACCCGCCCCCACCCCACCCACCGCCCACAGCAACAGCACACGGATTCTAAGAGATTAGCTCAGCTACCAGATCCCTGGAATGTGCTAAAATTTCCGCCCCCGAGCCACTCAGGTGCCAGCAGAGATCTCGGGATCTCAGATGCTCGGGATCTCGGGCATCTGAGATGCCCACGGGAAGCTAAGTCTAGAGGAAGGAAGGGGTTGGGGGGGGCTCGGTGATGAGCAGAGGGAAGGCAACGGTGTCGGACGCCTGCTGAGCCTGACCTTGTGTGTGTGTCCCTGTCTCTGGCCCCGCGGGGAAAGCCTCACCCAGGCCCAGTGGTCCAGCTGGGCCGAGCCCTCTCCTCCCGGGGCAGATTCTATCTGGTTTCCTGCCACCCTGGTAAACAGGCAAGCCAGGGAGGCCCAGAGCTGGGGCAGGACAGTCACTGCCAGGGACCCAGGGGAGACCCCCCCCCTCTGAGGACGTCAGAACAATTCCTGACCCTCGTCTTGGACAGTGACCGAGCGAGGCGACGGGGGCACAGGGGGACAGTGCACAGAAAAAGGAGCTTGGGCCGCAGGCAGGAGTGTGTAGAGGGCAGCCCATCGAGGAGGCTGCGGGGTTACTGTCATTCGAGATCGTATTCCCGAGAGCGCTCTCCCCCGCCCCCCAGCTCCCTCCAGCTCCCTCCAGGTGCAGAGGGCCCGCAGGACACCTCAGCCTGGGCTGTCCTAGCCTCAGGTCCGAGACCACCCTCTCCTGAGCCCCTCAAGCCTCCCTGCATCCCACCCGAGCCTGCTCAGGGATCCTCCCCTGCGTCTGCGCCGCCCCAGTCCATTCACACAGACCCCAGAGAGTGGCGCTCCTCACGCTCTGGCCCTGGGCTGGGAGCTCGCTGCTTCCCTGCCACTTGGTCTTGTTATGAATTTATTTTTAAACATTATCTTTAGTTTCTGCAACAAGTCTGCATCACAAGTGGACTTTGACAGGTGGGGAAATTGAGGCTTAATAGACCAGTGACTCGCTTGCGGCCCCAGAGCTGGGACGTGGCAAAGCAGGCTGGTGATGGACGGCTGTGCCTGCCGGCCGTGTTCTCAGCCCACCCCTGCCTGCGGGCTGTGCCCCCCGGCGTCGTTTGTGAAGCACCTTCGACCGGCCAAGGTCGGACCCAGGCATGAATTTCTACAGAGGGACACACCTGTGCAGCAAGTCCGGACACAGCACACGCGTGTTTCTGTCTCTCTGGGAAGTCCCCTCGTGATTGCCACCAGTCCGTCACTGCCGCACGGGCAGCCCATTCTGAGTTTTCTCATCGTGGTTTAGTGTTGTCTTTTCTACAACTTTCTACATTTTGTGTCCGGCCTCTTTCGTTCAACATAACGCCTGACATTCATCCAAATTGTTGCTCACACGAGTGACCCGTCATTTTTATGTCTGCATATATTTCATTGTACCGAGACGCCACAGTTTCAAAATTCATTCTCCTGTGGATGTTGGTGGACATTTGGGTACTTCCTTTCTTGGCTCTGATGAATAAAGCCACTGTGAACATTTTTGAATCAGTCTTGTGGGCGTACGTTCGCTTTTCTCT